GGGGGTGGCCAGCGGGGGAACAGGGGCGGCCAGAGCCAACGCCTGGGAAGGGGCGCCAAGCTCGCGGCTTTGCTACAGAGACAGCGTGGGGGGTCTAACAGGAATCAGACCAAGTGAACTGAGGGTTAATCTAGGACTTCCTGTTTGGGGAGAGTGATGGGATACTGAATGGGTGCATACTGGATGATCCTGCTGCGTGTGTGTGCATGAAATGAGTGTTGATATGCCACAGGTACATCTCGCTGGTGAGTTGCCTGTTTATTTACAAGAAGCTGTGAACATTTCAAACAGCATGGTTGGGGAATGCATGACCTTGACTGACCACATGGCCTGGCCAGGGATCACACCTGAGGCTGAGTACGGCAATCATGAATGCAACTGGAATGCAGCCGTTCGGGCTGATTTTTTGCATACAGCCCCCAAATACCCTCACAAGGCCACGGCCCCAAGCGCGCGTCCAGATTCCGACATCGCCCAACCCAGGTTCCAGCGCCCGAGTGTCACCAGACCCCACCCGTGCAGCTGTCAGGCACCCTAGCGCCCCGGCCCAAAGTCAAGCGTTCGGGCTGACTTTTTTGCATACAGCCCCCAAATACCCTCACAAGGCCACGGCCCCAAGCGCGCGTCCAGATTCCGACATCGCCCAACCCAGGTTCCAGCGCCCGAGTGTCACCAGACCCCACCCGTGCAGCTGTCAGGCACCCTAGCGCCCCGGCCCAAAGTCAAGCGTTCGGGCTGACTTTTTTGCATACAGCCCCCAAATACCCTCACAAGGCCACGGCCCCAAGCGCGCGTCCAGATTCCGACATCGCCCAACCCAGGTTCCAGCGCCCGAGTGTCACCAGACCCCACCCGTGCAGCTGTCAGGCACCCTAGCGCCCCGATGATGCGACGGTTTGGTGGATGAACTTAAATTATACCTCCGTCACTAGCTGGCGGGAGTTCGGGCCGTCAGGCCCATCATCCTTATCAATGTCCGAACCCTCACCCGATGATGCATCCTCCTCACCCACGGCATTCACATCATCATGTATACGATTAGTATAGAAATACTCTTCTAGGGATCTTCGTCTTGATCAGGCTGCATGTGGAGCAAGGGCACATGTTCATTGGTGGCGGCGTTTTCCGCAGTTTCTTTCTGTGCCTTCGCTACTATTTCTGGTCTTCATAAGGGCAAATTTTGTTTTCGATGGCTTCTGGGCTACGGGCAAGTAATTGTTGATACCGCTATACATGACAGCACAACTACGGCCCAGTATACTTGAATAACATTTCTTTATAGTGGAGGACAGCACCGGGGTATGGATTACAGAGAAGGAACGGTTCGGGGAGTACGTTTTGAACCTTCGTTCATCATTACACCTAATAAGCTTGCAGCTTTTACAGCATCAGAACGTTTTGGAGCTGCTGAAAAAGTACCAAACAAAAATGCAAATTGTTGCGATTTTGACGGGGAGGGTTTACGTTCCCCGTGTGAGGCCTTGCGCCGTTCGTTTTGGGGTCCCCGTTCCATGACTCTCACGTGCGCGGGGACCTCGCCATAGCTCGTATAAACAGTAGTTGTTGCCCTCTTTCACCCACATGATCATATCAACCAGCTGTTAACATATAAGTGTAATGTATTGAACCTAGTGTGTCTAGTTAATTCAATCCAATTGTTTCCGCAAGTGAATCTGCTCTGCCAATTTTTACAAACTGGAAAATCTAACAGAACAAGTTATTGTAAATCAAACCGTCCACATAGCTTCGCTGTCTGTATCATCGTTGTTAGAGTCATGATGTGCAGGCAAAGCTGGAGACGATCGCATCAGCGATGTATATCGCATTTGCCGAACTCTCCGACGTGGACACACCATCGCCAAACAGAATTCCCACTGAAACGAAGTTTATATATGCGGATCATGCGTCCTGCTTCCCTTCGCGGTCCCTTCGCGGTTAACGGCTATTCGCCATGCCAGGACGCCACTTGCGGCGACATGGTGAACCTGCAAACCCATAGCGCATCAGACGCCCTTGCCTCAGCAACCTCTTTGGCCCCGGGGACGACATTTGATCCCCAACTGCCAGACACAAGCGTCCTGGCTGCTCAAGGCTTTGTACTCGCGCTGACAGCCGTAGCCGCGGGGTACTGGTGGCTTGTGGTTGTGCCTTCAGAGCGCGCTGCGTTAGGTCGCAGTAAGCGGCTAGGGCCGCTTAACACCTACCTCCAGGAGCTGGAGGGGCCGGAAGCTACACAGGAGCGATGGTGAGAACCTAACTCTGAATGGTGGTGTTGGCCTTAAATGTTGAAGTACGGTATCATTTGCAAATGAGTCAAGTGACCGTGGTTCTCTCCGTGCCGGTGCTGTATGGATTTTTTTCTGTTGGAGACGCAGTGTTGGCGGAGCAATGCCGAAAGGTAGTAGGGAGTTAAGGGGTACGGTAGGCAGGGAGGCACTTTCTTTCTAGGCCGTTCCCCCCTCACTTGTAGGGGCCCGGTGCCGGGGCCGGGACATGAGAATGCAATGGCGGGTCTTTATTAACAGAGGCTTGTCCACGAGCCGGAGAGAAAGCAGGCATGGTTAAACGCATGATGGTTGCAATAGAGATGGGGGTGGGGATGGGGATGACGAAGGTGACGGCTGTGAAGCTCCCCGATATCATTGACGACCGTCAATCCGGTACGTATGCAGCCGGCGATGATGAGTGTGAACCATATGTCAGTACATATGTGAGTATGCACGTGTTGGGGGGGGTTGCATGACTTATCGGCTGAACTACCCGGGTCGCAGGTAATGCAACCCATCCTGCACGACTCCGACTTGCCTTACCCTAGGCGCTCTAGGTGCGTCCCGGGTCCGTCCAACTCCTGACGTGCTTTCATATCTCGCCGTGTAACCCGCTTTACCCCTCTCAACCTGATCTGTATCCGCTCTCTCCCTCTCACAGGCTGGAGCGCTGGTTCTACGCAGAATGGCTTCGGAAACGAGAAGACCGCCGCCGCCGCCAGCAGCCGCAGCAGCAGCAACAACAACTGAACAGCGATATACCAGCGGCCACCGCCACGGCAAAGGACGGGAGCAGCAGCAGCAACAGAAGTACGGTAGCGGACTCATCGTACGGCGAAGAGTCGTACGAGACGGACGAGCCCGTCACTAACTTGCTTCGGCCCTCGGGCTCAACACCCACCCCTCGCTTCCTCAGTCTGGACAACCCGATCGTGGCCACAGGGGTGCTGTTGCTGCTGGCATCGGCGGCAGGGGTCCTGCAGCAGCAACTGCTGCGATAGTGCGGTACTTCTAGGGGCTTTTGCCGGGAAAGAGAAAGGGTGAAAGCTTTGGATCGGTCGGAGGAACAGGGGTTGTCCGGTGGCGTCGCTGTTGCTCCGTGGAACTAGGGTGGGGGTCGTCACCGTGGTCATGTGGCTCCGCGGCCATAAGGGTGCTGCAAACTAAGCCGTCAAGCTATCACAAGCATTACTAAAACATCCACAGCCACAAATCCCGCAGGATTCTTACAATTCGCTCATGATCATGGGGCTTACAGTCCCCTAATCATC